GATGTAGTTGAATGTTCTCTCGCCCAGGTTGTGTGCAGACACTTGTCGTAGGATTGCGACGTGAGAGACTCGATCAAAGGCCTTTCTAAGGTCGAGTGCAGCTAGTGCTGTCCATTTCTGCTTGTGTACACCTTCCTTGAGTTGGAGGAGCACATCTTGCGTGGATAGCTGTTTTCTAAATCCAAACATGTGCTCCGTGAATAGGTTGTGTTCTTCCATGTACTCTTGAATCCTTGTTTGTATGATGCGTTCTAGTACCTTACCCACGCACGAGGTGAGTGAGATTGGTCTTAGATTGTCGATGGTCAGAGGCTTGCCGGGCTTGGGGATGAAACACACCGTCACGTGTTTGAAGGCCTTTGGAATGACCCCTGATGTCCAGATTTCGTTAAAGTAATTAGTGAGGCACCGCACTGAATTGTCGTCCAGGTTCTTTAGCATTCTGTTGTTGACTTTGTCTTCTCCAGGGGCAGAGGAAACCTTGAGTTTAGCTAGTGCCCGTCTTATTTCATGTTCCTTGATTGGAGCGTCTAATAACGGGTTGCTGTTTCCTGAGTAGCTTACGTCATTTGCCCCTGCTTCCGGTCGAGCGTCTAGGTATCTGGCGTAAAGGTCGGCAATGAGGTCTTCCGTGTTTCCCACATAGTCTCTCATTAACTTGATGAGAAGTTTTTGCGTTTCCGGCTTGGTGTTTTCCGGGGCCAGTATCTTGCGAAACGGATGCCACGGGCTCTTCGTGTGGAGCATGTTCTGCGCTTCATCGCATACTTGCTGCCATTTCTGGTGGTTTAGCTGTTTGGCATAGTCTTCAATGTCTTTATATAACCTTGACGCTTTTTTCCTCAGCTTGCTGTAGCGTTTGCCAGTGCTCTTCCATCTGTTGTATAAAGAATAATACGCTTCTAACATATTTCCGAGTCTGGAGTCGATGGTTTCTGCTTGCGTGGGGTTTTCAACTTGCCTCGTTGCGTTCGCCGCGTCTTCTACAACCGTGGCGCTCCATTCCTCGATGCTTGTGAAGACTCTTGTTTTCGCGCTCTCGTCGGAACTTGTCCCAGTCTACGCAGGGTTGTATTCTTGCCTTGCGTGGAGTGTAGCCCGGAAGCGTAGCCTGAACTTCAATGATATAGTGGTCGCTCCCTGAATTCTCTTGCGTGTTCTTCCAGACGACATCTTCCAGGTTGACCGAGAAGGCAAGATCCGGCGTAGTATTTCTTTGCACGCTGTTGCCTATTCTTGTGGGGTACGTTACGTCGTTGAGTAGGACTGCGTTGTACCTGTCTGCTGCATCTATGATTGCTTTGCCTTTGACTGAGTCCGTCCCATACCCCCATATTGTGTGGTGCGCATTAAAGTCCCCTAACACTATGGCGGCGTTATCTACTAGCAGTAGATTGAGTGCTTTGAAAACTTGCGCGCATTCCGCAGATGCGTCTTTCGGGCTGGAGTACATGTTGCATATGAACAGACTTCGTTGCTTTTTGCGTTTGGGGAGAATTTCGGTGACTATGAGTTTAGTGGGTCCGTCCATCGAGACTGTGTGCTTTTTGACGGCCAAGTCTCGCCTGACGAACGTGCAAATGTTTTTCCCCGTTGTGCCTTGTTCCGTATCAAACCTGTCGTATCCGGGTATACTGCCGTTCGTATCCGTTTCTTGAAGTGCCAGTACATCGGGTGGTGGTTTGCTGTCCATCAGTATCATCTTGAGCGAGTTGATCTTGGTACCAAGACCACCCGCATTCCACTGCCAGATCTTGAGTCCGCCTCTACCTTCCATTTTGGGCGTGTGACGCTGACGGTATCAGTCCTATGTGCGTCTCAATCTTGCGGAATCTTTCCTCGCACGAGTTCTGTAGAGCGATCACAGTGTTCTTTAGAGCGCTCACGTTGTTCTGCAGAGTGCTCACACTGTCGTTCAGAGCGGACATTCCCTTGATCACGTCTCGCATCATTGCGTACAATTCGTCCGTCCTCTTGCGTGTGTTCGAGCCATCCTCTGCATCCGTGCATACCGACACGTCCGTGCTTTCGGAGTAGGCTCTGCTTCTTCGTTTCTTGGCAACACGTACTTCGGATTGTGCGTCTTCGGTTTCCATTTGCATCACTGGTGCCGCCTTCTTTCTCGGGTCCCGTGTCACTGGCTGCGTCTGCATTTCAGATGGTCCGGCTTCTTGTCGCTGCGGGGTCATGGCTTCTTGAAGCTTTTGTCGAAGTTCCTGGATCTCCCTCTCCGCAGCAAGCTTTTCCCTCTTTAGAGTTTGATACTCTATGCGCATGGCGTCGAATTTCCTTTCCATCTCCTTGCGGAGCTTATCCAATTCCGTTTCCTTCTTGTCAGTTTCTTGCTTTCGGAGTGCTTGCGCATATCCCTCCTTGGGTTTGGGCGCAGTTTCTCCCATGGGTTCTTGGCCTGGCAGAGTTGCAGTGAAGTCTGTCTTCTTCGGTAAGGTTCCTTCTCTCGCTTCCCGTGGCGTCTGAAATTCTACGTATCTTTGCTTGCATTCCCTGCAGGCAGTGTAATGCTGACCATCACATATGAGGCAGCGAGGAGTGCACGTGTATTCCGTTCTTACACCTCTGACTCTTGGCGGGTGTTCGTGAAATTTCCCACAATTGGGGCACCTTCCGTTGTCCTTCTCGGGGCATACGTCCATTCTGTGTCCTAATCTCCAGCATTTCATGCATGCTCTCTTGGTTTCTCGGTAGATGTGGAAGGGGAACACTCCTCCGAAGAACTTAATGTACGCGGGGAGCTTGCTTGTTCCCAAGGTAATCAGGATCGATCTTCCCATCCGTTTCACGTCTACGATCACCGTGTGCTTGTTGCAGTTGACCATATGATTCAACAGTTCGACTTCGTCGACTACGTCCGACGGGTAGTACACGTTAGTCAGTACTATTCGCTGAAATTCGCCCGGGATGGCTCCATGTCCATGGACTTCTATCTTCTTGTTGTTGCTTATGATCTCCTTGATCTCGACGTACCTGCCTGCTCGCTCAGAGTTGTCCGTGCGAATGGAGATTGTGTTGCTTGCGCTGTTTATATATAGGCTGTCCTCCGCGAAAGCTTCCGCAACCTGCACTCCTGCAGCTTTAGCGATTTCGCCTAAAAGATGTCCTCTCGAGAGGCCGTTGACGTTTAGTTCACGTACCCTCAGTATGATCATGTGAGTTCGGCTATCCTTTTTAGCCGCCGCGGGGAACTCCTTCTTCAGCTTGCGGTTGTACTTTCGACTCCTGGCAGTTTGCCATCTTGCCGCTTTAGCTGCGTTGTCCGCATCCACTTCTTCCTTTTTTTGCTTCGCTAGGTCCTCAAGATACCGGCGAATATTCTCGTCGTGCATTCTAGAACGATCTTCGTCTCTAGCCATATCCTCGTCCTGTTGCGGCTGCATGGCCGCGTTCAGCCTGAGCGTTAGGCCTAGCTCCCACCGGTTTCTTCACTCGTTTGTGCGATATAAATCAATCAATAAACTTTCCCGTCGTCTCCGAATATTACAAAGAGACATGCGTTTCTCACCCAGAAGCTCAGAGGATATTCTGGCCCAGCAGTCCGTCCGTGCCAAGGCGTCTTCCACGTCGAAAACACGGAGCGCCCAAAAACACGACCGCACTCGTCCAATCCCGCCATGTGCTTCACCTCGAAGATGGCGACCGTGGTGGGCGATGGCAGCGAACCTAGCGAGTGACGTCAAGTGAATGTCAACTATAGGAAAAAAAAAATGTTCACTTCATTAAATTAACATTGTATTGATAAGGACCACCTCGTATCAAAATTGATTCAAGTTGAGCTTTTCTCCGGGTCAGTCGAAAGACTGGTGAGTTTTTATCCGGATTCGAACAAAAGGGGGTGAGCTTTTTTCTGGTGAGCTTATCTCCGGTGAGCTTTTCTCCGGGATTCCAGTTCATAAGCTGAAAGGTGGTTTTTCTAACGATGTTTCTACTTTCGCTAAATACTACTTATAATCATTCCCTAACGTTAATAACTACGTAAACTTGCCCCAGTTTCTCCTTCTAGGCAACCTCAACTCGGAACCAAAACAAGCGGCCACGTGGCCTGGTGTCTATCCTACGCCGCCAACGTTAAAAGCGCACATTTTCACTTTTATATGGTGTGAACATTGGTAACCATTGTATGAAATATAAAAAAAAAAAAAAATTCTAACTTATTTCCCCCCCCCCCCCCCCCCATATACGAAATATTTGCGTAGAAGCCGGGCAACACTGTCCATAAATCGAACTTCTTTGAACTTAGGAAGATTCGGCGAGCCGGTCGGACATTGAGTTTCGACGTCAAAATTGAGGCTCGGCAAAAGTTCGCGACACCCCTCGTGGTGTTACATCAATAGGCTCGTTCGATTTACCTGCAGCGGTGAAGAAAAGTATGGCAGTGTACTTCTGGTATGTGCATCAAGACACGACCGGAAGTAAACCGCCCTACACGTTTCTGTACCGGCGCGGGTAAATCGAATGAGCCTAATGTTGGCAAACTTGCAGGTCGAGCAGGCAGCATATATTTTACATCGTCAATCTTGTAATTCAGTGGGAAAAAGTTCTAACGCCCGAATTGCAAACGTGTACCGACATATATGGTGTTTTTCAGTGTTAACAGTGAAGACTAAGTTTGAGAAATAGGCGAGGACCAAAATCCAACAACTTCATGAGAAAAAAAAAATATGTTGACATTTGAGTTACTAGTTCAGCCATTTCTGCTGGTATGTTGAACAAACTTTGAGGTTAAACGGCAACCATAATTCAAATTTACACAAAAGATAATTTTTTTTATTTATATTTCATTTAATCTGAAGGGCCCATAAAGGTATTTAACCACGGTTACGTCACAAAAGGTCACAGTTGGTGCAATTACCTGCACAGATGAGATGATCTCAAATGTTTTCCGATTAGAGCTTATACTTGTTATCAGACAGCTGCACTATGACAGGAGTGCGACGGCAGGGCGGTAAGATGGCCAGCACAATTGAACTTGTGCGAAACTGGAGTAACAAAAGGTTAACAAATCATTTTATTTACAACACACAATACGGAGGTGGGAAACTCATTTCCCTAGATAGATTTATGTAACAGGAGACGCCCACTGGAAGATGTCCTGCCCAATCCTAGCTGGTTCCTGAAAAACAAAACAAAAATAATGCAGCTGTAAAGCTAGTTTGATCGAACGAAGTTGATAAAGCCTAAAAGTAAATAGTTTGATAGTAACTAAACGCGCATTGGATGAAAATAAGCTTGATACTTTGCTCGCTATGAATTACAGTGACACTAGTGCAAGCAAGGATCCAATTGGAGCATTTTCACCAGATATCTTCATTCTCAAACTTCATGTTTCAACTTATTTGCTCTTTTGGGGGTGCAGGGGGAGGGGGGGGAGGGGAAGTTATTTTTCAGGATTAACTGTGACATAAAAAATCCATAAAGAAGGCCATTTAAAGCATCATTATTTGTGTGTCTCACAAGTATCAGAAGGTACCCATAAATTCGAGGAGGATGCACCTCAAAAATAACAAAATTATGAAGGTAACCATTAACTATACTTCGTTTCAGCTTCGGTCCGAGCGCGGCCGATGTTATAAGCCGAAAGGCCAATCAAACAGCGCAAAAAGCGCAGCGTCATGGCGTGCTCTCTGCGCTTGGTAGGAGGAGCGCGCACAGAGAGACGGCGAATACCGGCTGGTCCTATCAACTGCGGAGAGCACGCCATGACGTTGTGCCTCTTTCGCTGTTTGATTGGCCCTTCGGCTCATAACATAGGCCGCGCTCGAACCAAAGCGGAAACGAAGTATAGTAACCAAATCAAAAATATGAGACACCTTTCTGACCTTATTTCTAAAAAATTACTGCTTGGAGTCAGTGTAATTTAACTTTGTTTTATATATTTTAAATATAAATTGGGAGTACACTCAAGTAATAACCTTGAATAACAAAACAATAAACTTACAAAAAATAATCTAGAACAGAATACTGCCTAAATGAAGCTGAATATACATAGAATTTTACATAAAACCAAGGGAAAATACCACTTGACAGTCTCAAATCCCACCGAAGGTGCCCACAATAGCAGAAAAGCTTACTGTAGTGCTGACACTGTGCTACCCAAATTGCAGCTGCTCATAAAATTTTCAGGCACTTTAAAATGTTTGAAATCCTTTGCTGAAGCATACCAGCTGCTCTCCTATAGTTTGAAACATAAACCACGAAATTTCATTTGATAAGATAGGTCTTTTATATAGAAGTTTTCTGAGAATCACAACTTGAGGACTTCTACAACCTATATCATACTTAGTGTACAATGCTGTGGAAGCTGCTCATGCAAGCGCACGACTTCACCTAGTGTATCATTTCCCTGAGAGCATGTGAAAACGAATAGCAAGATTAAGCCGCACGACCACGCCAGCAGCTTTGACAGTGCCGTACGCTGAGCACGAAACGGAGTTGAGTGTAGTCATCTCGTTCTCATATGTTGAAGGTGCGGCACCTTCACGTAGCAAGGTCCACCGGCACTCAGAACTTGAGGTTCCCGATGGAGGGGAGGTCGGGTAGTTTGATGTCTTTGATCTGCTGGGGCAGGTTCATGTTCTTGACGGCCGACACAGCTCTTGCTGGGGCAGCAGACAGACCGGCCTGCACAAACAGGGGGCGACAAAGGGGCCTGTTACAGTTGACTCTTGGTTGCTCGAAGTTGCTTTGTTCGAAGTTTTGGCTAGTCTGAAATGCGAGTGTGGTCGCAGGATTGTGGGAAAAATCGCGCGGAAAAACAATTCACGCAACTGTTTTGTGCGCTCGGAAGTTTGGAAACTCTGGGAGTACGAGAAATCTCTGGGACCATGCCAACCGTGCACCCATGTACACTGCTTTGACCTACTGCCGTGACTGTGCTGGTCGTGCCACAGCGGCCAACAGCACAACACAAGAGAGAGCAATCGGTGCGGCTAAGCGCGGCCTGGCGCACAGGTCCGAGAGGCACAGATGGCTGATAACGCCAGGCCTGAGGAATTCGCAAGTGGTAGCAAGTTGGAAGAAGCCCTCGAGGATGTTTAGTTCAACCAGTATAATAACATCGTTCACTTATGGACAGCGAAATTTAAGAAGTGAGCGGGATTAGTGTGGTGCAACAAAGCGACGACTATGTGCCGAGCATCGCTGATGCGAAATCTCTACTGATGTCGTAGAGCACTTCTTTGGAGAGAAAAGGCCGAGGATGCCTTGAGATGCGTTCGTGATTTGTGCAGTGTGCTTGCCGTGACGCGATTATATCGGTGAAAGCAATTATAAATCAATAGGATTTCTCTCGTAAGAGAGCACTTGTAGCGTCTAAGGTTGTTCCAGACTCTAAGTTAAAACTAGTCTCGAATGGCTGGTAAGAACACTAACTTTTTATTTAGTTAACTGATTGTTACATGGCCAAATTTAGAATAACGATGAAGGCGCAATGTCGGTGTCTGTCCCGGCTGCTAATTCCAAGTCATCTTGCTGCAGCTGCGTGCTTAGTAGGAAAGCAGACTCTTCAAGCGGGATGGTGCACGCACGTGCCTGGTGTATTTAAAAAGCAATGGAAACTTTGTGAATGTTAATATCTACATTGCAGTAAAATTTTTAAAATCATACTAGCTATTATATACCAGTACATGTAAGGTGGAGATGTCCTGACAACCTGCATTAGTTATTCATGTCTGAAGAAAAGATATTTGTGTGTAGCACAAATATTTATAAATCCTCTTGATTAGGTATACCCGGTCATCTCTATAGGTTCAATTTTAGATAGATTTAATTTTTTGCTTGCCATCCCAGTGAATGAAGTGGACTCTCAGAGGCCACAGTCGATAAATACAGTTAGACGAAAATTAGCTTAGAAATGGACAAGTGGAAGCTTGGTAACAATCTTCATGAGCTCAGCTGGGTTCCTGCATGGTGCAGTAGTGAAAGATATAGAGATACTATTGAACATTCAATTCGAGGCCAAAACCACCCTTCACCTCAAACTCAAAATATACTATCCGCACATCCCTAATAGTGGAGAATTGGAGGCAAAAACGAAGGATGACTTTCTTATTGTCCATGTTTTTGCATTGCCAGTCTTCCGCTTGCTGCCCGAGTAAGAACTTTAATGCACCCTGGCACTTCCCACGTGGCTTCAAGTCTTCCTAAATTTGACTGACCTGGAAGTAATTCATGGCACTAAGCAAGTTTCTAATTGGAACCATGTTTATTTATACTAATCATAAAGATAACTAGTAAATTTCAAATGATTAATTTTTAAATTGCAGTGTGTCTCTTTGCAATCCTTGATGTCCCATCATCGCTGGCAGTTTGTTTCCGAAAAGAGTTCCATTTTTTTCTCAACCATTCTATTTGTAGGAATTTTTTTAAGTGTTTGCGGAAATGCCTGGTATACTACTTAGTAATGAAGTAAAACATGCACCCTAAAGCTTTCTGATAGTGAAGTCTTGGTCCAGCATTCCATAAACAGAACTAATCACACCAAACTGAAGCATGGGAGCGAATAATAACATAGAAAAAACTAAACCACAACAGTACTCGGGCATATTTAAGAAATTAAACCAAAGACATAGCTGTAATGGGATAGTACGAAGATGACGAATAGTCGGTTTGAGTTGAGCTAGTTGGTACATGGTCGCTCATGGTGGGGAGACAGCTTGAACAATTATACAAAAACAAAAAGACCAAAATATGTCAAACGCATGCTTAGCATTTGCTTTAGTTAATTTCAATTATGGCTGTCCATATAAAAAAAAACAGCCATTCACACACAATCACTGATGCACTGGATATTTCAAAAGGTTCCAACTGCAGACAATAAACAAAAAAAAAAGGTTGGGGCTCCAATCCACGCTGTGAAGGTGGTTGGTCAGCAAAGCTGTGCTATCACTTGCAACGATTGCCTACTGCACTATGCGAAATGCCGCCGCCGGTCGCAGCACACCGCCGCTGGTCATATTGCCATTTCTCTTTCCTTTGCCACTCCTAGTATTCACGCTGCTCCTCGGGAATCCTAACTATTAGTGGCTTATTCATCGTGGTGCTGCAGCAACAATGAAGTCAGTTGCTATACTCTGTTCCATCTTAAGTTTAAGCGCAGCGGATGTTACGAGCCATCGGAGCCAATCGGAGGCCGTGTGAGTGTCACGTGACCTTAGAGAGGAGGCACAGTGATGCGCAGAAAGCATATCACAGGCCACGTCCCCAGAATGGGACTGCCTAAGATAGCTCGTAGCATCTGCTACGTCTGGACGTAAGGTGAAACGGGGCATAGGCGAGTTCTTCTTTTATATATGAAACGCTAATGAAGTCACTCCCCACGTCACAGGCTGCTGTCGCCACGGCAGTAGGTGCTGTTATCATCCATTATGCGGTTCACACTTCACACGAGGGCTTCGAATAACGTCAACCCTTTTCAAAGCAGCTGCAAACCTAATCTTTATCGGAACGCGTGGGAGGGTGTTCCTATTGGTCACACATGCCTCATCATGCATCATGCGGTTATGATGCTTGCTTTGTGGCTTTCTGTATTGAAACGGATACTGAGCTATATGCTGTATGCCTGATTTCAAAGGAGATATGCTGTTTTGTCTTCATTTGTTCGCTGGGAGTTTTTTTGCTGACAACGATGACACGAAAATTTTTTTGGCTGGTAGAGGTATACAGCTTCGCTGTAAAATTGAATACTGCAGATGGTCATGGGGCTGTTATATCTACCTGACATGAGATGAGAGCTCCCAATCCTGTTTGCAGCAGCTTGACTGAGGTTGTGTTCTATATTAGGTGTTTGCATAGCCTTTGCAGCTTGATGTGCAACTCCCACCATGTGCGGCAACCAGATTGCATCTGTGCATTCAGAAAAAGGTCCGGAGGAGCGGAGACAGACAAGCTTCGTGGATAAGGATGGCGATCAGTTTGCACGTGCTCCTCGAAACACTCCCACATGGCGTGCCATAAACAATGAACAATTTTTCCGTTACATATCTTTTCCGCTACATCTCTTTTTCAGAAACACAATCCCCCCGAGTGAAAATGAGGGCAATAGGGTGAGAAAGGCTACAGTGGGCACCAAACTTAGGCGGAAGACACAAACCGTTTTTCATCTTGCAGCAGCGCTGTTCTGGGGCCCTAATCTGGACACTTGGCGAGAAAGACGGCGAGAAATCCGGCGGCTACGATTGGCCGGCGCCAAGGTCAAGTGCGGCGTCGACCAATCACAGCCGCCAGATTTCTCGCCGACCTTTTCGCCAAGTGTCCAGCTTAGGGCCCCTGGAAGCAGCTGAAACAGCGACTCCGTAACACAGCACGTGAAGGGACAGCCAATGCAGAAGAGGCCACTCGTGCAAGACCAAAATGATGGCTGAACTGGGGACGCTGCAACAAGTTTGCTGAACGGGCAGTCTATGCTTATTGCCACACCATTGTTTCATAGCTCACAAGTGACCGCTGAAATCGTCAATTATTGGATGGTTCATTTGTTTCGTGGTGCTCTTTCAGCTTGTGCTTTGTGCTGCTAAGGAAAGGAAGCTGAAATGCCTACTAAATGGGCCATCTAGTACTGATGCCTTTGGAAGTCATCTATGCACAATCAAGAGAGGGGGCGGTAAAAGACATAGATCTAACAAAATTAATGCAATGTCCCCAGTCCGGCCGGGATTTCGGTTTTGAGCAAGCAGTCTCCCCCGTTTCATTGCTTGCTACATCAGAAAGCTGCAGGTTCAGCTGCAGTCAGGATAGTATTCCCACAAGATCAAATATAGTTAGTTTATTCGATTTAAGTTTGGTGAATACTGTACATGTCTGCAATCTGCTGCACATGACCCTTTAGGCATTTCTGCACTTGTAGTGACACCAAAAAAAAAAAAACTGCAAGATCAATGATTCTTCTCTTCCGTTTTCAAAGAAAACACGCACCAAGGCTGTGAGGCACCTGTACTGAGCTGAACCAAACGCTTTTGAGTGTATCCCAGAAATGGCAGCCGCATCAGCGATTTTCAGTACTACATGTTTTCAAACCTTCTTTTGCAGCTTCGTGCTCAGATCGTCGGGCACAAAGAATATTTGATCTGCTCGTGCCAGCTGGCAAGCAAACCTGCTGCGACAGCTTCGTGTTCTAGCTATAGATGCTGTCAATTTCACAGAAGTTGCCAAAAGACTGGAGCTGAAGCAAGCCCATCTGTGGCAAAATGAAGAATGGGTCACACATTTGCGTATGACTGCATTGCAACAGCTTACAATGAGACAACCTACTGCACCGTCCATTACTATTATTATTATTATTATTATCCAGTAGCCGTGGAACACTTCAAATTTGTGTATATTTTCTTTCTTTGTTACGCATCATTCTTCCACCATGAACTCTAAATATTTTTTACAATATCATAAGTGACCATTTCTTGTAGACAACACATAGATTTGATCTCACAAATACTGCAAAATCTTGCAGGCGCCTCCCTTGGTCTTCCTTCCCCGACAGCCGCAGGTCGGAACGCTCGGCCTGCTTGCCGCGAGTTCAACCCGTTTCGGGAAGCGTAGGGTGTCCGAGGGGGCCATCCCCTTCGCTCTCTCCCTCGGGGGGACCTTTCTTCGTTCCCCTGCTCGGACGCGCTAATGACCAGCAGGCG